AAAGAATTATGGTTTGAAAATTTTATAAATATAAAATTATGATAAGTTATTGAATATTAATTAGAAAGTTGATATATTTCGTAATTATAGTAATGACAGTTTTGTTATTAAAACATATTAGTAAAGTTTATTTGTCTTTTAATAACTTTTGCAGATTTTTCATTGCATATTTTTTCTTTGTTTGAAAGTTTTTTTAGTAATTATATAAGTACTAGAATAGGACTCGCGTTAATATGCGGGTAAACACATAAATATAATTCAAATCATACTCTTAATAAAGAAAAAGAAATATTCTTTTTAATTTATTATTTTTATTTTGATTTTTAAAGAAATTTTCTTTTCTTTTTGTTTTTAAAAAAAAAATAATTTTAATTTTTTTAATTACCCAACCGCAAACGCTCGAGGAAAGCAGGTTTTGATTTTGAGAGGTTTGAAGTGACACGAAGCGTGATAAAACTTGAAGAGAATCATCAATACAAAACATAAACAACATTAAAAGATTCACTAAACATCTCGTTTTACAAATAAAACTAATCACACAATTATACCAAATCAATGAAAACATGACAACACTAAGAGAAACTTCGACATATACCAAAGAAAAAAACAAGAACAAGATAATAATGAGTGGACTTAGTAGATCACAAACAAAGCTAGAAAGAGAGTGAATCAACGGATTCTCTTGTAGAGGGAGAAAATAGAAATGATGGAGAGGAGGAGAAGGATGATCGAAGCGGCCAATGAGACCGCGATTGCGCCTCCGGTATGACGGCAAAACTTGTCGTAGATATGACAGATTTTGCCCCACCTGACATCTTTGTTTCCCTTCAGACCAAGGTAAGCTACTCCACCTCCCGCTCCTGTCGCTGAGGCTACTATCCCAACCATCAACTGCCAAAACGTTGTCGTTTAGATTAGGTGTTAGTAAAGAAACAAAGCACTACATGAATTATATATTGTAATTTCCCTTTATACGATAAAGTGATTTCTGTCTCTTATACAAAAGCTCTATATTAAATAGAGATGTTTTATTTGGTGTTTAGTTCGTTATTCACATACATAAAAAGTTAGACAATATGCACTAATTCATGGATTTCACGCGGGATATTCATTTCATGAATATGATTTTATCACCACATATAATTTTTGAAAATTTAACTAAATTTTGGTTATCTAGAATATAAACTCACAGAAGCTACCCGAAAATAGTCCAAATTAAAATTTTGTATACTTTCTAACCGTTTTTTTTTTTTGGATAAATCGTGGGAGTTTTGAAAATTTCTACCGATTAATAGCACAAAATAGCGCAATTTGATTTCTGCATGGTTTTTAGCTTAACATTTACTGTTAAACATTGTAAAAAGAAGAATTTACCGCATCCATAATCGCAAGATTTAGCAAGAGCATCGCAGTGCAAGAGGAAGGCTTCTTCATAGCAGATACAGTAGCAAGTGTTGATAGAATACTGTAAAAGCAAGCCACCGATAATGCCACCACAAAGTATCTGCACATACCAAAAAGAAAAGAGATTTGAGTTATTAAACAGAAAATAATTAGTACAAGATATTAAAATATTATAATATGAAGACGCTTTTAATTATTATCACCATTGAACATTAATTTTTTTGTTTAGTCCTTTTCGTTACATAACCTTCGCCAACCAATTTTTGACTTTTTTTCGTTATATATGGACTAATTTTTTACTTTCCAAAATCTTTTTTTCGAAATCCCAACTACTCCCACAAATAAAAACATTACTACATATAATATCGGCCATTTGCATAGTGATTATTTGTTCATTAATCATATTATTTGACCGAATATTTTAATGATTTCTACTAGTGTTGTCACTATATTACATCATCAAAATTTGACATGACCTCCCTGTAGTAGGATTACAAACAAACAAACAAAATTTCAAATTAGTTTTGGTCCCTTTTGGAAAGTTTTTTTTTCTGGATAAAATCTATTGGCAAGTTATAACGTTTGTTCTAAGAAAGTACAATAAACCATAATTCCGAATCAATTATATGTATTACATGTATACTTAATTCGACTATGAGATATTATACACACAACACATCTTTAACGAAGGATATACAAAACACATATAAGCTTCGCCCCTTACTTTTTATGTAGATAATCAATCAATTTCGACAAAAACAATAGAATATATATATATAGGAGGATCGATGAACTTACATTAGAGCCGGTGAGTTGGTGAACTTAGCAGTAGGAATACGAAAGGGAGTTCCAGGAATGAATATATTCTTGGTCTGTTTACCCGTAACCATTACTATAACTGATGTCAAAGTGGCTGCAAACAGAAATACTCTTAGCACAACTTGAGTCGTCCAAGCACACTTCGAGGTGGTGCAGCTTCCTCCAGCTGGCACGGTCGATTTCTCGGTGTCCACCGTCGATTTGGTTTCATCAGAACCCATTGATTGCTAATCTTGAATTTGTTAGGGAAGCTTTTGTGTATATGGGAGGTGGTGCTATGTTTTGGTACGTCAAGAGGGACTTTTATATTGTGTGTGTGTATGTGGAAGAAGAAAACATAATTGAATTGTTGTTATAATAATGTTAATTAGTATTATAATATAAGGTCGTGGGACTAATATGGTGAGTGTTTCGGACACGTTAACGATATTTGAAAAATTGTAAGAGTCAATATATTCATTTATATCCGTAATGATGATCTCATCTTCTGGCATTCACATCTTTATTGGCCTTACGGTATTTGTTAATGTCAAACTACGATAAATTGTGTGTATATGTGTATGTATGGTTCTTGGTGTGTATATTAGACAGAAAACAAGATAGTCGTAACCTTTTACGTAACGAGTATACGAGTTGACATTTTTAATTATTTCCTTCATTCATTTATTTATGAGATATATTATTATGTATTGCATAAATCGCTTAAATTTTTTACCAAAAAAGAGGTTTGCATGCACTATTAATATGTATAGAAGTGGTGGATGTGTTTTCTTATTATTTAGAGCTTTCTATTTTCTATATATTAAAATTATCTTTCGGTATCCCACGTATAACACGGATAATTACATAATAATTTTAAAAAAAATGTAAATACCGTTAGGAATTATACATTTTGTTTTTCTTCAACATAGTTTAACTATTTCTGTTGGTGTTATAGTTTCGGAGATACTGTACATTAAAATATATATGTTGATTTTGGTGACTTAAAATCTTTAGGTATTAAAAAACAAAACAAAACAAAATTGAGCTGAGTAGGAGAAATCAGAAATGTCCTAGCATATGAATGAATACTAAAGATATTACCCGAGTTTTGACGGCTGAGTAAATTCTAGTATTTGATGTAAAAATAAAGCAATTTAAACTATAATTAAAGAATTCTTCAATGTGAATAGGTTTCGAAAACAACTTCAAGATCAACATCTTTGTCTTTTTACTCGTTTCTTGGATAAACATTAAAGTTGTCAATTGACCCATATAACGCCGCATGTTCATAACTGATGTAACTTTACACACACAAAC